CAGACAGAGGATTGAATGTAAGGACCCAGAGGTGTGAAGAAATAGGTTTTGCCAGACATTTCTAACTAGAAGGATTTTTCTGGAGCACAAAGTTCAACAGAGGGAATTGTAATTAAGATATACAGCTCCTGAACATGTAATCAGGAGCTAAATATAGAGGGCCTTGTGTTTGAAATGAAGGAACTGAACTTTATCCTGCTGTCTGGTGTTTTCTTTGCTGTGTATGAGAATAACCTGGGAAGCTTGTTAAAATGCCCAACCCCTAAAAAATTCTGAGTCTTTAGGTCTGGGCTGAGATCCAGAAAATCATTTTTAACAGAAACACTGGACAATAGTTTTTGTTGTTGTCGTTTTATTAGCACTTTGGTGGGGGTACCGTATTAGTATTAGCACTTTTGAAGGAAGTTTTGTTCATACCTTGAGGTAACATTTAATTCAAACATGAACAATTCATGACTGAGGGATGTTGAGGCATTCTAGCCAGAAGCAGGGCTCTAGGCAAAACAACCGGCCAGAGGAAGGAAAGGACATTGGAAATGCTAAAGTTGATTTCAAAGCAAAACATTCTGTAAAACCCGGGGTCTGGGGTTCGGGAGAACTAGATCCCTGCTCTGGCTCCATCCCTGACGAGCTATGCTTTGACGGTGTAGCTGTCTAATTTTTCTGTTTATCATTTACACTTTCCTTCCACGTAAGTAAATGATAAAGTTTTCAATTGTAAGTAATTTGTGTTTCAAATGTTTGTAGAAATAGAAAGGATGCTCCCCAGTTTGAAACTATGCCAATGTGATGGACTAACGAAATCAAGGACATGACCCAGATCACAGAATATGAGGCATTAGCAGATGCCAGTGAACATTTGGCCTTATGTTTTTGAAAAATATTACACTGTGTTTTAAACACTTTAAGTAGTTATGTAGACTTTAAAAGAGAGAGAGAGAAAGAGCATAATTGTTTCTTTTGGTTGATAATAAAGCATAATTGTTTATTCCAGTTAAAAATCAAGGTAAACTTTTTCCTCATTAACTTTTGTATCTAGTATCTTTTGTAACTCTGGAAGACACTTACTCTAATTATTTGTAATATTTTAAATGCTCCCTTAATTTTATGCAACATCGCTGTTTATTTGTTTGTTTGTTTGTTTTTGTGCTGGTGACCGGACTTGGGGCCTTATGAAGCAGGTGGAGGAAACACTGAGCTAATTCCCCGGTCCTATGCAACATCTCTTAATAGTTTGTCAGTGGTGCACAGGCACACAAAAGATATTTTTACTTCACTATCAGTGTTGCTTACCTTTTCTGAACCTTTAGTTCATTTCATAGAGTCTGAAAACCTGCAGAATAATCCACTTTTTTCATTCTGAAAAGAAATAAAAATTCAGATTTTACTTGAAATTATTTTAAAGTAACAGGAAGAATAAGTTTTTACATTTAGTAAGCAGAGCTAAGAGACAACCTTCAATGTTGGAAAAAAATTTTACTGGCTGCTCCGCAGGCAAAGGTCTACTATCTAAAATATATAGAGAACTGAAAAAAGCCAGACCCCCAAATTTATAAACCCAATTCAAAAATGGGCATTAGAAATGAACAGACATTTCTCAAACAAAGAAGTTAAAGCAAAAAAAAAATAAAAAATAAAAAACATGGAAAAAAAACGTCCCACATCACTGGTCATTCAAGAGATGCAGATGAAGACAGCAATGAGATTCTACCTCACCCCACAAAGAATGGCTGCTATAAAGAAATTAACCAATAACAAATGCTGGCTGGGTTGTGGGGAGAAGGGAACCCTTCTCCATTGTTGGTGGGAGTGCAGACTGCTGCAACCACTGTGGAAATCAATATGGAGATGCCTCAAACAACTAGGATTAGAAGTCCCATTTGACCCAGCTATTACCCTGCTGGGTGTCTTCCCAAAAGAATTAAAAGAATCATACCACAGTGATATAGACTCACCCATGTTTATTAGTGGCACAGTTTGAAATAGCTAAAACTTGGAAACAGCTCAATTGCCCATCAACCGGAGACTGGATAAAGAAGATGTGTGTGTGTGTGTGTGTGTGTGTGTGTGTGTGTGTGTGTCTGTGTGTGTTTTAATAAAATGGAGTACTTCTCAGCCATAAATAATGAGAAACTGGAGGCATTTATAGCTAAATGGATGCACATTGAGGCTATACTCTTAAGTGCAATAAATAGGACATATGTATGTAAATACTGAATAGTTTCTCTGGTGTGAAAAACAAAGTGTAGATAAGGCTCAGTTGTATAATTGATAATGTGAAATAGAAAGAAAAGTTCTCAAGGAGTAGCAGAAGTGAGAGGGTTAAGAGAAAGGTCAGAAGGGAAAAGAAAAAAATATCATAAAAGGAAAAAAATGGAAACAAAGTCTTTGTAAATAGGGAAGGGCGAAGGGGGTGAAGAGAGGGCAGGGGAATGGGGGAAAACTAAAAACCAAGACCTGTCATGTAAAGGTACAATATCCCACTGATGAGTGCAACTGTATTGTATACCTACAATGTACCAATAAACTTTAAAGTTCTCAAGGAGTAGCAGAAGTGAGAGGGTTAAGAGAAAGGTCAGAAGGGAAAAGAAAAAATTTCATAAAAGGAAAAAAGTGGAAACATAGTCTTTGTAAATAGGGAAGGACGAAGGGGGTGAAGAGAGGGCAGGGGAATGGGGAAAAACTAAAAACCAAGACCTGTCACGTTAAGGTACAAGATCCCACTGATGAGTGCAACTGTATTGTATACCTACAATGTACCAATAAACTTAATGGGAAAAATAATTAAATATTTAACCTCTGAAGACCTCAGTTTCTCTTTTTTTTCTTAGTTGTAAATGCAGTAATTAAAAATTAACTGAGTTATCTATTTGAAATCATATTAATGAAGTTGCAACTATGGATTCCTAAAACATGAAAATGGGGTGTTTGGGTGCTTGTTTTGTTTTATTTCCTCTTTTTCTTTCTTTCTTTTGATACTGGGGATCGAACTCGGGACCTTGCACTTGCGAGGCAGGTGGCAGAAACACTGTGATAAATCCCTGGTCCTGTTTTCTCTGTTTCAAAGCCATAGATTTGAGACTGATTAGCCATCTTGTAAATGCATCTATTTCTTATGAGAAGAATTTTTTGAAAGCAAAGTTAATGGAGTACTTGAACAAAAGCACCGCTGTGCTTAGAGGAAAGTGAATTTTCCTTTCTTCTTCTTCTTTTCTTACCCTATTATAGTATCACAGAACTTCAAGTAGGCAGCCTACAAAAATCCCTTTCAGCTCTAAAATTTTATGATCCCATAATTATGAATAAAAGTATTGCTCATCTTTTGCATTAAACATGAATAATGTATCACGTCAGGCCTGAATAATATCCCTTTAATCTCATATAACACCTCAGGTTCCCAGTATCACAGCAGGACCACACCAATCACATTTGGCAGCTTTGCTTATATAGTTTATGGCCAGAATTGGTTTGCTTTAGATAACACACTCTTGTGCTGTACCACTGTTGCTAAGATACAGTTTTGTAAATAATGTTATTTTAAATATACATCCTGGGGTCGGGAGAGGAATGTGGAAAGCAGTTGGTCAAAGATTTAAACTATCTTTCGCGGGAGCAAAGGCAATGTATTAGGTAAACCTTTAAGCCTATTTTTGAGTGCATCCTAAAATAATTCTGCTTCATTGTGAAACTTGATGAAGAGATCCAGGGCTTGGCAGAAGAATGATCAAGTCTAAGGTTTGTAGCAATGATGAGTTGTTTGGCAACCGTAGCGACTGGCCAGTGTGAAAAAACACTGGTAGTGCGATAGGGCTCTTGAAGGAGATTTGGGGGGGGGGCGTTTCTGCTTCAGCCTTGAAATAAGGAAAGAATTTGATGATTACCACTTACAGTGTATTTTTAAAAGGCCTCTTGTTAGGAATCACTGCTGAAAGCCAAAAGGATTTCTTTTGGGCACCAATGTCCGGAGACAGCTAGCACGCGGGCTGCCTGACTGAGATGGGCAGAGTGAGCTGTCCCCGTGTGCTGGGCTCGAAGGAGGGCAGACAGTCTTGGCCCCACATAACTCCTTCACCACGACCCCAGAACCCACCGTCAGCTGTCAGTCTCTCAAAGCCCCAGTGACTGTCGCTCTTCTGGAGCCCTGGTCAGCATGGGAGCAGATCCAGGAGGATGGAGCGAGGCAGAGTCCCTCTGCAGGAAATGCTGCACAGCGGGACTTCTGGGCACCCGGTGCCAACAGGGTGGAAAGGTGCTGAGAGACGAGGGTCTGACAGACACCCTGGTTGCCAGGAAAAGGAGAACAGGAGCTGGAAGTGAACTGCAGAGTGTCAGAGTCAGATTCTATCAGTTCAGCCATTTGGTCAGCCAGCTGCAAGCGGGCATGTATTCCGGAAATATAATCTAATTTTATGTTTATTAATCATAAGTCTTTTATTATCTGATAAGCTTGTGAGGGGGGATTTAAGTTGTCATTGTTACTGACGAGCTTTGTCCGGCCTTTGTATCTACTCCTTCACCACGACCCCAGAACCCACCGTCAGCTGTCAGTCTCTCAAAGCCCCAGTGACTGTAGCTCTTCTGGAGCCCTGGTCAGCATGGGAGCAGATCCAGGAGGATGGAGCGAGGCAGAGTCACTCTGCAGGAAATGCTGCACAGCGGGACTTCTGGGCACCCGGTGCCAACAGGGTGGAAAAGTGCTGAGAGACGAGGGTCTGACAGACACCCTGGTTGCCAGGAAAAGGAGAAAAGGAGCTGGAAGTGAACTGCAGAGTGTCAGAGTCAGATTCTATCAGTTCAGCCATTTGGTCAGCCAGCTGCAAGCGGGCATGTATTCCGGAAATATAATCTAATTTTATGTTTATTAATCATAAGTCTTTTATTATCTGATAAGCTTGTGAGGGGGGATTTAAGTTGTCATTGTTACTGACGAGCTTTGTCCGGCCTTTGTATCACTGATTCAGAAGAGTCGCGTCAGGAAAATATCCTTTCATCCTTTTCTCCCTGACAGCAGCAAACCAGATGAATCAGGAACTCTTCCACAACTGAGTCACTTTATACAATTCCTTTCCTTCCAGGCCTGGGACCACTGCCTTCTAGGAGCACTGTCAGCATCAGTAGTACATCATTACATGGCCAACTGTTCACCAGCCTTCCAGTGTCTCCAGTCACAGGCCGAACGTCATATGCATGAGTACGAACTCCCCGCTGCTCTCACCTCCCAGCTTCTCCAGCTCCGGGCTGGATGTACATCATTACATGGCCAACTGTTCACCAGCCTTCCAGTGTCTCCAGTCACAGGCCGAACGTCGTATGCATGAGTACGAACTCTCCCCCTGCTCTCACCTCCCAGCTTCTCCAGCTCCGGGTTGGCCCCTTAGAATATACTTGGCTTCTGGTGGACTTAAATAAATGAGAATAATTAAGAGCTCTATATCGTTTCGCTCTTGTCTGCGGTAAAATTGGAAAGCAATTGACACTCTTATTAGAATTTCCTTCGGTTTCTTAGTGGGAACATTTGCTTGACGTGACGTGTGCTGCTCTGAGTGGTGAGGAGTGTGGATTCCATACACAGAAGGGGAAGCTCAGAAAAGGAACATGGTGAGCATCATTCAAGCCCATGGGATTTTACTCACTGTCGTCTTTGGCCATTAAACCTTGACTTTGCCTCAGTCTGATCATTTTCGTTTTGCCTTTCAGCTAACTCAGGATCACCTGTCCTTTTGTCTTACTGTTTATCTCCCTTCGCCAGCTTGTAAAAATAAATGAGACTAGTAACAGAAATTGTTCTGCTAGTTTTAAAAAAATACATTAACTTAAAAACTGCTGTCGTTTAGCCTTCCTGGTTAATGTACCCACACAAATCACTACGTCTCTAGGTTCCCCTGGGAAAATCCGGAAAGAAAGTGTTGAGCTGTGGGATTTACACCATTTCACTGAAATGGAAATAAAAACAAAAGGACGGACTCTCGCTGCCAAACAGATGAGGAATGTAAAGCTTTCCAAAAAGGACACTAAAAAGAGCAGGTAAACATCATGATGACAAACTCAGGAATTAATCATCTCCAAGCAATTCTATGACACTAATTATTGAGACATGTTACACATAGCCATTTCTTAGCATGGTCAGTAAGTTGCACTTTATGGGTATGCAAATACAAAAGACAATGTACTTGCCAACAGCGATGGTTGAGATGCTCTATCATAATTGACTAGCTTAGGATTTTAGCTCTTTGAGCTGCATTTTTCTTATCAGGGCCCCCATCATACTTCAAACCATTGTAAGGAATGAAAGAAATGCATGCAAAAAGATTAACACAGAACCTGGCATTTAATGAACACGAATGATGAATAGTTCTTTTATGTACAGTGTAACTAAATACTAACTGAGCCTTCCATTTGTCAGGTACGACCTATTCAGCATTCACATACGGCCTCACTTCACATGCGTGTTTGCCTATGAGGGAGAGACGATGGTTTACACACTTCTCAGATTATCATAGCTGAGACATAGAAAGTTAAATCGTTTAGCCAAGGTTAAACAGATGGTAAGTGGGAGAACAAGGATTCGCTCCCAGGAAGTGAGCTCCAGAGCCCACACTCCTAACTACTATTCTTTAAATAAAAATAATTGCAAAATCTTAGACATGGAAGCCACTGTAGAAGTGGTTCAGGACAGCATACTATTTACCATTGAGGAAGCTGGGGTCGAGAGACTAGGGCAGAGTGTCCAGCAAGCGAGCAGCCTGGATAAGGAGCCAGCACTCCTCTCACCACGTCTACGTCAAGGGCCTAGCACTGCATTGCTCATGAACGCTCCCTGGGCTGTGCAAGCATTTCCAGCACAGTGAACAAAAGATTTCAAGCCCATGGGATTTTACTCACTGTCGTCTTTGGCCATTAAACCTTGACTTTGCCTCAGTCTGATCATTTTCGTTTTGCCTTTCAGCTAACTCAGGATCACCTGTCCTTTTGTCTTACTGTTTATCTCCCTTCGCCAGCTTGTAAAAATAAATGAGACTAGTAACAGAAATTGTTCTGCTAGTTTTAAAAAAATACATCAACTTAAAAACTGCTGTCGTTTAGCCTTCCTGGTTAATGTAACCACACAAATCACTACGTCTCTAGGTTCCCCTGGGAAAATCCTGAAAGAAAGTGTTGAGCTGTGGGATGTACACCATTTCACTGAAATGGAAATAAAAACAAAAGGACGGACTCTCGCTGCCAAATAGATGAGGAATGTAAAGCTTTCCAAAAAGGACACTAAAAAGAGCAGGTAAACATCATAATGACAAACTCAGGAATTAATCATCTCCAAGCAATTCTAGGACACTAATTATTGAGACATGTTACACATAGCCATTTCTTAGCATGTTCAGTAAGTTGTACTTTATGGGTATGCAAATACAAAAGACAATGTACTTGCCAACAGCGATGGTTGAGATGCTCTATCATAATTGACTAGCTTAGGATTTTAGCTCTTTGAGCTGCATTTTTCTTATCAGGGCCCCCATCATACTTCAAACCATTGTAAGGAATGAAAGAAATGCATGCAAAAAGATTAACACAGAACCTGGCATTTAATGAACACGAATGATGAATAGTTCTTTTATGTACAGTGTAACTAAATACTAACTGAGCCTTCCATTTGTCAGGTATGACCTATTCAGCATTCACATACGGCCTCACTTCACATGCGTGTTTGCCTATGAGGGAGAGATGATGGTTTACACACTTCTCAGATTATCATAGCTGAGACATAGAAAGTTAAATCGTTTAGCCAAGGTTAAACAGATGGTAAGTGGGAGAACAAGGATTCGCTCCCAGGAAGTGAGCTCCAGAGCCCACACTCCTAACTACTATTCTTTAAATAAAAATAATTGCAAAATCTTAGACATGGAAGCCACTGTAGAAGTGGTTCAGGACAGCATACTATTTACCATTGAGGAAGCTGGGGTCGAGAGACTAGGGCAGAGTGTCCAGCAAGCGAGCAGCCTGGATAAGGAGCCAGCACTCCTCTCACCACGTCTACGTCAAGGGCCTAGCACTGCATTGCTCATGAACGCTCCCTGGGCTGTGCAAGCATTTCCAGCACAGTGAACAAAAGAGGATTTGTTTTAAGAAAGATTTTTAAATGGCTTAGTTTATATAAAGTGATAAAATAAATTAAACCTGGCTCACAGGAATGCTATTTCAACTATATAAAAAAAAAAAAAAAAAAAAAAAAAAAAAAGAATGAAAGTCAATAAAGTATAAGGGAATAGAGAAGACAGGAAATAGAATTAAATCTAGGAAGGTGTGACCATTAGATTTCCATCTTCAGTTTATCACTTACCAGGGTTTAGTCTACATACAAACAAAAGAGGGGATACAGAAAGCCTTGCTGCTTTGGGATTTTGGATTGTTTTTATCTTGGTGCAATGTGAGGGATCATGCTTGATTTTCTTAGTTATCACAGATTTCCAATGAGATGTGTTGAATAACTGCTAGGGTTCCTTATTAGAGACGCTCAGGACTGCTGACTCTGTGAAGCTGCTCCCTCATCACCCTTCTGGGGACATGGAGTGGAGATTCAATCCTCTCCTCTTGTTGAAGAGGATAGAATGACTTAGAAGAGGTAATTAATGTACATGTCAAGTCCCTCTACTGATGTTTTCATGATGTCCTGGCTAGCTTTTCACTGATTTATATCCTCTTTTTCTTTCTCTTAAGTGTAGTGGACCATGGATCAGGAACGTATTATAATTTACTCCTTCAGCTATCTCCGCTTAGGGAGATATAAAGTATGGCATAATATTTACGGTGTATGTCTCTGTCCTACTGATGATAAAGTGGGGAAAACAACAGAAATGGGGGTCACTCCTTCTCAAAAGAAAGTTTGGAGTTTATGGGGTTAGATTTGGTTTTCTCTTTATTTGGTACAGGGGATCGAACTCCGGACTTGTGCTTGCAAGGCAGGTGCTGGAAACAATGCGCTAAATCCCCAGACTTCTGGGATTAGAATAGTTATGGTGGACCATGTTTCACAAGAGCTATCAGCATTACATACATCCAGATGCTCAAGGGCAGACTCAGAGGCAAGCAGTTTGTTACTTAATGACTTTATGTAGAACTACATACCAGTCCAGAGATAAAGGTTAACAAGAAAGTTTCAAAAATAATTTTATTATGTATTATACACTATACACTATACTTCACCCCCCCCCTTAGACCTCTGAGCAGTGAGTTAAAAGAACAGGAAAGAGAGGGTAGCTATTTATGATCAGTCCAGCAAGCTAGACAATTCCTGGGATACAATAGTAGAAGGTCAAATTACAGACCAGTTTCCATTTTGCTACAGAGATCTGAACAGCTAATAGAATTGCCCTAACTTCCTGGTTGTTTTGGTAAAGCCAGTTAATGTTCAAACTTGTTTTGGGCCTTTAAACTTGCATTGCTTTGTTTCAATACATAAATTACTTAATTTGTTTTACACATGACATGTTTTATTAGGTATAGGCTTAGTCGGTTTATTGAGGACATCTCAAATACAGCATTGTATTTTGATCACAGATATAATGGGTCAGGAATTAGAATAGGACAGAGCAGAAATTGTTTTCTTTATTCCACAGTATCTGGGATCTCAACTGAGGAGACCTCAGCATCTCTGTGTGAATTAAATGGCTGAGTTCAGGGAGTGTTTGGGTCTTAATCTACTGATAAAGTCTGTGCCGAGACAGGAGAACTGAAGGCTCAGCTCGTTTGTGGCTGTGACCCACTCCACACCACTGCTCCATGGGGCTTGGGGCTAACTCAGCACGACAGGTGCTCTCCAGTGGAGGTGATCCTGGGGCTGAACCTTCTGAGAGAACCAGACAGAAGTGGCATGACCTTTCTGGCCCAACCTTGGTGATCACACAATATCACTCTTTCATTCTCATTAGCCAAAGAAGTCACAAGCCCTGCCAAGAGGGGACACAAGCTCCATTTTTTTTTTTTCTTGTACCGGGGATCGAACTTGGGATCTTGCTCTTGTAAGGCCCCATCCCAAGCTCCACTTCTTTTTTTTTTTTTTTGGTACTGGGGATTGAACTCAGGTCCTTGCGCTTGCGAGGCAGGCCACTCAACCACTGAGCTAGATCCCCGGCCCCCCAAGCTCCACTTCTTAATGTCATGTTTTAAAACTATCACAAAGTGTAAAATACATTAACACTCCAAAGATGCATGTTCTAAAGCTAGTGGTGACTCTCCCATCTTGATCCTATAGTTACTTCAATTTGTCCATTTTTTAGACATTTTAAATAGAACAGGGCAGAGTAACCATCTTTAGAGGTATGATCTGGTGGTTGCCTACTCCAGAGCTTTACATACATCATCAGTTTGAACAGTCACACGACTTTGCATGACTATAAAAGACCCCGAGGAGTGGTATATAGTTTGAAAGGGGTAAAGGGATACATGTACCCAGGTAGAGGTTAGGGGATGTTATTATCAAAAGTAGATAAGGGATAGCAAGAGACAGAGGGCCTCTTGTTCCCCTCTAACTTTTTTCTTTGCCCAGATTTTAAACACAAACTCTTCTATTTATGCAATATTCTCTCCTATTCATCCAATTTCTTTATGTAGCACAAAGTCGAAATTTCTGTGTGATATTTTGTTTTTCCTTCAGGTCTGTCTATGGATTTTCCTATCTGGCAGAACACAAACAAATAAAGTAAGCAAAATATGTAGATGGCAGAGCCTCCCAGCTGGCTACGGGCAACTCACCTCCAGCTATCATAGAATAGAGAAATAAACTGCTATCTTTTAAACAATTCACAGTTGTATGTGTGATATTTTTATTTTGTTTTTCCTTATGTTTATTTGTTTCCCAACAAGTTTTGCCCAAAGGAGCACATAACACACAGTTACTTAAAATTTCTATCTGTATTTTCAGATTTATACTGAAAGATGATTTCTTCAAAAAAAAAAAAGATTGGATATTTTTGCAATTTGGGATTTGATGGAGTCTATTTTGCCCTTTCTCATTTATCTTGTTCAGTGATCTCAACACATGACAATACAGAACACAAAGAGAAGAACAGATGGCCTAGAAAAAGAATCAAAGCAGATTTGGCAGTCACTGTCACTGTCCTTGCCACGTCTTTTGCTTTTTAAATGAGAAATGCCATTATTAGTTTTTGGAAATGTCTCTACTAAGTAAAACCCAGGGGTGTTGTGGGGAGGGGATTAGAAGGAGATCCCCTCAGCCTTGGCCAGACTTTGTACCAGTGAGCGATGGGCCATGTGGAGTAGTTGGGTGAGGACTATGCGTTCATCGATTTGATCTGCAGTTTCTACTCGAGCTCTCACCAGAGATGGTTCGGATATGGCTGACATGTGGCCAATTTTTGTTTATATTTTGGAAGTTTTTAAGTGTTTCTTGGCTTTTCCCAGAGTCTCCATGCTTATTGTATAATTCTGAGATCAAATGTTATAGTAATGCTTGATTAGTCATTTACTTGAGTAAGGAGTAGTATTGTTTCCTGGAGCTTGAGGAAATAAAACATTGCTTTCACTTCAAGAATAGTCACTCACAAATATTTAGAAATTTATTACTCGAATAGGGTTCTTATATGGATCCTAAGTCCAGTGATCCTTGCTCTAAATCTGCTTCGAGTGGATCTTCCTAGAGCCTGTTTACCGGAAGCTCCTGGTGCCTCTCCATACTTATCCCTAGAGAGAGAGACCGCCAAGAGGCACAGGACAAGGTCTGGGTGTTTTTGAATACAATTTCCTGCTTGTGCTTAAGTTCCCTCTTCATGAACTCACACCCAAGTCCACAGCAAGGACTTGATGCATCTTTTTCTTGAAGAGGGTTCCCTTTAAATCTGCATTTCTCAGTGCCTCCTCTGGGATCTCTCACAAGCATCATGAGTCTCCCTTGTACGACTACTCCACCAGCCTCCACGTTGCATACAAACCCAAATCTGCCTTTCCATTCTGCTTTCCCTGTCTCATTTAGCACCATGGCCAATTCATAGAAATTAAAATGAGAGTTATCTTTCCAAAGTAAGAGGGGAGACAAGATGCTCCGGGAAGTGTCACCTGTGTGTGCTTGGGTTTCAGACATGAAGCAATGACAATGGCACAGATGCTGGCCCCCTTCAACCTGGGCATCTACTGCTGCCACCTGGACAGCAGTAAACAGAAATGTCACAGGGCTGCCTTCAGGTTTCTAGCTGTTCTGAGGCCCCAAAATTTGTGACTATTCTCCCACATGGAAATGTAAAAGTAATAACTCTAAGCAGTTAAATGTAAGAATATTTATGTAGAAATTATGATTTTGCTATTAATGAGTTTTTAAATAACAAGTGCCAAATTATTTACAGAAATTTTTCTGATTTTTGTTGTTGGTTGTTAATGTCCTCAGCATCTGTTTGTCTTGCCTTTTGGGTAATCCAAGCTGGCTTCGGTAGAGGTCCCTTTGGAGGACAGCGAGTTGGGCATTAGTATTCTTGGCACAGATGTCCCCTCATTCAAAGCAAAGACCACTCTGACACCAACAGGCATCAGCAGAGATCAGAAACTCAGCCGGCGGCCAGGAGGCGGGGGTGTGACAGGAGAGGAAAAACAGGGCAGTTGTTACCACAGGGTTGGCAAGCCAAGTTTACCCAGCACACTTGGGAAATGGACTGCACTCTCCCGAAATGACTTGGAAGGATTTGTGAGGAGTCTAAAGCTTCTCTAGAGCAGTTTAAAAAGAGGAAAGTAGATTTATAGTAATATGTATGGTGTTATCTTTATTTTCAGGTGGATGTGATTAGTTTGCATCTATCTATCTATCTATCTATCATCCATCAGTCTACCATCTATCTATCCATCTGAAATGTGTGTATATGACAGAAGATGAAGTATGACAAATAACTGATCAATGATGACTGAAAGTTTGAAGTGTCATTATCACAAATCTTTGAACACTATCATAAATGTATCATAAAAGAATAATAGGGACAAATAGATTTAATGTAGGAAGTAACATAATGTTTAGAGTCTTATATTCAGTTTTTCATCATTTTGCTTTTATTGTTCAAGAAAGCCAACTATGTCTTGATTATTACTCATCATTTTAAGGCATATATTAATATTTCAGTTCAATCCAATAAAAACATGTTGAGCACTTACAGTGAGGCAGGCAAAATTTGGAACCAGAGATAAGGAGCATATACTCACTCTTTTGCTTTCCAAAGCTTCACAATGAGAAGATGTAGTATTTAAAAACAATTAGAGACAGTATGATTAAATTGTGTCATACATAGACAGAATCAACAGAAGCAACAGTGTAAAATGGCAGCATATGAAAATGCTTAGTTTACTTTAGAGATGCAGGATTTCAAAGAGAAAAATTTTCGGAAAGTAAGTAGTAATTGATCTTCCCGAGGGGGAAAGTACAAGTGGGCAGGCAAATAGGTAGAGTGGGGCTTCATGAGATTATGGACAAAGCCGTAGGAACATCCGGCTGATGAAGGGATTGAGTGGGCCTTGGTAGGGCTAAAGTGGAGGATATGTGTGGATATTTGGGGATGGGGAGGAAACCTTAGAAGAATAATAGGAATTTGAACTGAATCTTGAATACCTGAGTTCCTGCTTTAAAAAAAAAAAATGAAGCAAATGATTTAGAAGAATAATAGGAATTTGAACTGAATCTTGAATACCTGAGTTCCTGCTTTAAAAAAAAAATGAAGCAAATGAGGCATGATAGGATTTGATTTTAAGACATTCGTCTGGCAGTAGTTTACAAGGTAAATTGGAAATGATCACTAAGACATTACTGGAGATGTCTAATAAAGAAATGATAAGAGTTTCAAGAAATATTTTTCACTGAGAAACAGAGGGAAAAAAAATAAAGTATTCCAGAAGTAATGTCTGAGGGGGAAGGAAGAAAAAATCAAATAATTATTATTATTTTTTTCCTATCTTATAGTTGGCAATTGCACTGAGGAAAGGAAAACTTAGTAGAAAAGCAGATTGGGTTTGTATGCAAGGTGGCGGCTGGGGGCCCAGTCATGGTGGGCAGATTTGCAATGTTAATGAGAAATCTGTGTGGCGATGTGTAAGAGGCCCTGAGAAATGGAGGTGTAAAGAGAAGTCTAGGAAAAAGAGAGTTACAAATGATATTGTTGCATTTCCTGTAGTTCCTCTTACAATCTACAGACCTCTGTTATCAAAATGTAAAATGTCCTTGCCCTTACCACATTATAGTTTATGAGTGAAAGCCATGTAAATGATACCATAATGAAAAAATCAGTTGTAGAAGTCAAAAGCAGAAAAAACAATGGAAAGTGAATTCTCAAACAGCCATATTTGAATAAGACATTTCCTTAAGATTTTTTTTCAAACATTGAATGCATGTTTCTGAAAGACAGTAGGAGAGTGAGGTTAAAGGTTTGTTTTCAGGAATGAACTGAATGTTTTATTCCCTCTCCATGGATGTGTGATCTTGCACATTTTTGTTTAATCTCTCTGTGCTTCCTGACCTCATGTGTAAAACGAGAAGGATAATTTGAGGATAACCAACTATGCTGGATTTTTCTAAGAATTAAATTAGATATTACTTTATAAGCATTTAAAAGAGAGTCTAGTATACAGAACGTGTTCAGTAAGTGTTAAATAAATAATAGTTTTGCTATTCTTCTGACTGGGTTTTCTAGGAGAGCTGGAATGATCACAATTGTCCTTTTACATCTATAGCAAATAAACCCAAAATTAGTACATGACCCAAACAGCAACTGTATTCAAGAAGATCTTAAAATAAATATGTACATTTTTCTTCTGGGTAAACACAGTTCTTTTTAACATTAGGGAAAATAATAGCACATTCTTTATTTTTAAAACTATCTCGAGGGAAGACTTAACTGTTTGGTATTTCCATAGCCAACCTGCTACTAGTGTCTGTGTCTGTGGGAGGGTTCTGGCAATGCTGATAAAATTTCAATCTCACTAAACCAGATGTGTGAAGGACAAAAGGGAAAGATCACAAAAGCTGGAAGCCAAAACAATCGTGACTCAAACACAACTAATAAATCTTAATAACAAGAAACTGATGGAAGCGTATTTGTTCCTTGGGTTTCCTTGTGACGCTTTCCCAACCCGAGTCAGCTCACCCACTGCGGGAGAGGCTGTGGGCGGAAAACTGCAGAGTCTGTGGGAGGGAAGGAAATTCTGGAAAATGAGAGGATTAAAACATGAAAGATGTCAAATCAGAAGTTTCATATTAAAAAATAGAAATAGTACCCTGAACCTTTCCCTCTTCTTTGCCTCTCCTGACAACTTCCTGTCAGTGTATTTTGTGTTAAAGGAGAGAAATAATAACTATGAGGAGATCTTTAGGAATAGTACCACCCGCTGCTATGCAGTGCTTCTGGACAGTAAAATATGCCACAATTATTTATCTTAACTTCCCATATATGTGTACGCTTCCCTCTGAATAGTCAACAATTTTTTTAAAGCTTAGTTTATGTCTTACAGTTTTCTTAAAATAAGCACTGTTGAAATTATGTATTTTAAAATGCAAAAAGGCAGCCTCTCATACCATTTTTTCTGCATGCATATATATATATTATGCACTGAGTAGATTCATTCCTGATTGAAGCTTTACTGAAAAAAATATGAAAGATAAAATTGACAAGGAATAATGTGGAGGAAATGGAAGAGTAAAAATATGGTGACACTAAAGGCGCATTTCAATCTAACAGAACTTCCTAAGTAAAGCAG